GTTCCGTACTGTTCTTCCTGATCCTCCTCCTTGCCCTTCTCCGTAACTATTCTTGGTTATGTTTCATGCGCGCGATCATGTCTCTAATTCCTACTTGCTCTTCCGCCTCATTTTGCTCCCGCCGCCGATTCCAGCGTCCCCTTGCCCCCTTCCTCTCCAAGAGGGGTCACAGGAGTGCGCTAAGAGGGCCCTCGGCTGGTTCAATTCGCACGAGCTTTCCTACACATTCCGCTTCGCCTTCTCCCTTACGAGGGGTCACACAAGTGCGCCAAGAAGACCTTTCCATAACAAACACCAGCTCATATGCCCTGAGTCAGTCGGGATCTCCACCTTCTCGACGCAAGTATTTCCATGGCGTCTCTGCGTGAGGCCATCGAGCGTCTACACACGCCCCACGCATGCCCCAAGACGCAAGCGCCACGCGGCGGTTCTGGAGCATCCTGGCGCGGCCTTTCTTCCCCGCTGCGCGTTGGCATCAAGTCTGGGTAGAACTTGAGCGCGCGCAGGGCGCACGACGGGTCGAGAGGGGAAAAAGGGGGGTCCAATGGCACGCCGCCTCTGGAAGCCTGTGGGTGTGGTGCTCCCTCGTCGTTGCCCGAAGGGCACGGGCCTCCCACGGCGGCGTGGCGTTGCTTCAGCTTTGCCTCCCTCCGCCCCCACTGTTTCGGGTGCTGCACTTGTCCGTCGCCCGCCTCTCCCACGGCGGCGTGGCGTTGCTACAGCTTTGCCTCCCTCCGCCCCCACTGTTTCGCGTGCTGTACTTGTCCGTCGCCCGCGATCCCGACGCCGCGGGTCCGTCTTGCGGCACGTCTTGGATGCCAGTCCTCGGCGACGTCGCAGACATTATGTTACAACCGAGCTGCCTGTCATGGCCACCATGATGGATGCCACCCTTGTCTCCTGGGCATCGCCACTTCCCCGTGCGAGCGCAAAGGGTCAGGCGCCGCTCTCGAGCGCGGCGTCGCCCCCGCGCGGTGCCCATGTGCGCAGCGCCTCGGCCGCTGGGGCGCGCGATTAGGAGCCCATGGCTGTGCGCGCGGGTGACCCGGAGGAGTCTGCGGCTGTGGAGCCCGCGCCCGCGGGGGGAGGGGTTGCCGGCGGGCCAGGCGAACGTGGTCCAGGAAAAAAACACAGACACAATTAATTGTCGATTCCCGAAAAATATGGAAAATATGGGAAGTGGGGGGAAGACAGAAATCCAGAAAATACAGGAAAATATGGGGAATCCTTTTATTTGTGTGTATTTATTTGTGTGTCCCAGGGCCCCTTCATACATCACGTCGTCTGATCCGCCAGGCAGCCAACGACTTCGGGGTGGGATTTCGGCGTGCTGGCTCCAGGCCTCCCAGGTGGGGTCCGAGCAGATGGGGTCGAAGGGTCGCGCCGCATCGCCAATGCGTCGGCGCTGCGGCTTGATGTGGAGTCAGATTTTCTCCACGCCGACGGCGCCAAAGCATCGCCGATGTCGCCAGTGCATCGCCGATGCATCGCCGATGCATTGCTGATGCATCGCCGATTCGGCGCGATCTTCCGATCCATCTACCCCGCCACCATCTAGGAGTACTCTATAGACGCCGGGGCGTCTATACGCCGAGCAGCCGGGGCGTCTAGTTATACGCCGAGCTCCCTGGCCGACCAAACAACGCGGTGTTTGCATCGAGCCCTTCCCCAGAGTAACGAACAATGAAACAAACATAAAAACTCGAAGGTCCGCGCGGATTTCTCGGACCTGCGCTCGCCCCCCTCCCTGGCGCGCAGATCGCGCCAGGGGCGGTGCCCGAGGCGCCGCCAGCGGGCCCCAGCGCCGTTCCGAGAAATCCGCGCGGATCTCCGAGTTTTTATGCTTGTGCCATTGTTCGTTCCCCTATTTCCCAGGCCGCGCCGCGCGCGACCCCGCAGCCCTCGGGGCGCTGATCCGCCAGCGCCTGCAGCGGGCCGCGTCCGACAGCGGAGACCTCCTGCGACGCTTCGCGGGCGCCGCTGGGGAGGTGCCCCTCACCGCGCTGCTGTTCGACAGGCGGGTCCGGGCTGCAGCCGTGGCGGCGGCGGCGGCGTGCGGGGCGGCAGCGCCGGGCTCCTCGGCGGCCTTCGCGCTGCTGCTGGAGGCGGCGCGCGCGGCCGCGGGCGTGGAGGTGACGGGCGCCGCCCGCGCTGCCGTGCGGCTGGGCGCGGCCGTCGCAGTCGCGGAGGGCACGGACTGCGCCGAGGCCCGGGGGCAGGCGGCTCCGCCCGCCGCCGCGGCAGGCGCCGAGGGCCCCGCGGGGGCCTCCGCGGCTCGCAACGTGAAGGGCGAGCTGCAGGCGCACGTGTGCAAGGTGCTGTCGCGGCCGGTCGGCAAGGGGGAGCTGGTGTACGCCACGGAGCAGGTGGCAGACAGGCCCCCGATGTACGAGTCGACGGTGCAGGTCTGGGGCCGCTCGTACACGGGGGAGCGCCGGCCCCAGAAGAAGGCGGCCGAGCACGAGGCCGCGCTGGCTGCCCTGGACGAGCTGCTCGCGGCGCCAGCTGGTGAGGGGAGCCCCTGGAAGCCTTGGTCGATTGTGGACGAGCGGGCCGAGCCCACCATCGACCACAAAGGTCTGCTGCTCGGTCATCTCCAGGCGCGCGGGCTGCCTGGAGGCACTGGGCTTCGCTTTGAGCACACGCGCGCCGAGGCTGAGGAGAAGGTGTTTCAGTGCAAGGTCGAGGTCGGCGGTCGCACATTCCTTGGTGCGCCCCAGCTGCGTGGCAATCATGCGAGCACCGCGAAGGCGAAACGCGCCGCGGAGCAGGATGCGGCGCGCGCAGCGTTGGAGGCGCTGGCTGCCACCGAGGAGATCGGTGGCTACTCGAGTTCTGGGAGCATCCGGCGCGTGCAGGCTCTTCTGATACCGGCCAGCCCAGAGGCGCTGCCTTCCCTGCTGGACCTCGCTGTCCACGGGGACGACTTCCTGGGAGCGGCCGCGTCGGCGCTGCACGCTGGCGAGCTGGTGCCGCATCCGCTGCAGTGGTCGGGCGACCGCCCGAAGGGCTTGTGCCTCTACGAGCGGGTGGCAGCGGGGTCGGGCGCCGAGGCTGCCACCGCTCCCGCGAACCCGCGGGCCTCCGAGCTGGCGTGGGCGCCCGTGGCTGGGGACGCGCTCCTGCTCTGCGCCTCTGCCCGCTCGGCCGGCGCAGCGCTCGAGGACATCTCTGCAGCGCGCTACGAGGTCCGGCCGCGCGCGGGGGGAGGGCAGGCTGCTTCTGCACCTTCGGGGGGGCCTCCTCGTGCCCTGCCGGTTGCAGTATTTTCTTGTACTCCGGCGTGGGCTCGGCCCGGATTCGACACGAATTCGACACGGACTCGACGGCTTCGACACGGATTCGACGCGGATTCGACGCGGATCGCAGCGCGACGGGACATACCAGGTCCTCCGAAGATGCATCTACGGTAGGAGGAGGGGGGAAGGTTTCTTAGAAGCACCCCTGCTTCTTAGATGGCGCAGGCCCTGTCTCTAGATGTGGTGCCGGCACCTTCTAAGAGGCAGCCTCCTTCTGGGAAGCTTTGCCCCCTCCCCTCTACCCCCCTGTGCGCGCCGCCAAGAGGTGGTTTCGGTAGCAAATCATGTGAGCCTTGTGTACCCTCGCAATTCTGTCTTTAGCGTCGACTAGCGTCGATTAGCGTCTGGGAGTCGATGATATATTGCCAAATGAGCGTCGGCTAGCGTCGGCTAGCGTCGATCGAGCGTCGATTTGGCGTCGACTAGCGTCGATTCGCAAGGGCCGACAAGCGACAAGATGGTACGAAAGGCTCCCATGAGTTGCCACCGAAGGTGGTGAAGGCAGATCGCAGGGGCGCGCTGCGCTGCCCAGCGGCTAGCCTCAACGCAAGCCGCGGGACGCTGCTCGCAGGCCGGCCAGAGCTGCCGCCCACCTACGACCCGGAGGCCTGGGTCGGGCAGTGCCCCAAGACCCTGCTGAACGAGGTGCTCAAGCGGCGCAAGGTCGCGGAGGCGCCGCACTTCCTCGGATGGGGGTCCGTCGAGGCAACGGCGGCGTTCCCGCCCGGCCCGCATCCGCTGAAGACTGTTGGGCGCCGCGTAATGGAGGGGTCATAAATGGGTGGGTGGCAAGCGTGGTCCGAAAAGGTACCCAAACGGTACCTAAACGAGCCCCCTGGGGCTCTGGAGGGGCCCGAAAGGGGCACGAAAGGGGACCTTTTCTGACCCCCCCATTTGTGACCCCCCCATTAAGCCACGCCCAAGACTGCTCCTCCCGACCCGTCCCAGGCTCCATCCCGACCCGTCTTCCGAGGCGGACCCGGCCGGGGCGACGAGGCGCCCCTCGAAGGCCCAAGTGAGGACGCGGAAAGCGCAAGGGACGGCCGCCGTTCTCGGATCGGCGCGGCGGGTGCCAGGGGGAGAACGGGGTCACGCGTGGAGGCCAAGGTGGGCCAGATCTAGCCTAGAACCCAGTTTACCAGCGGGCTGCACGAGCCCTGCGTACCTTTCGCTAGGGGTGTGTGTGGATCCACTCGGCTCAGAGTGTGGAGCCCACTCAGCCCAGGTCTTTGCCGCGTGTAGCCCGCTTGTAATTCAGGGTCAGGCCTCGGATAGCCACTTGAGCATCACTTCTGCAACCCGCTTCTCATCTCCGCAAGCTCCGCGGCCATCCCAACTGTGGGTGGGAACAGAAAGATATCGATACCGTCGCTCCCTGGGCCTCTCCTGGGGCGCGTTCTGACTGAGGCAGCTTCAGCCGTGGCACCGAGTCACGGGTGGCGGCATCAGTACGGTCGGACCGAGGTATAAGATCGAGGTCGGTTCGGGGAGGGTACCCTAATGGTCTTCGTGCTTGTTGGATGTTATTGTGCATCCTGGGGAGGTACCCTAGGCTGTTCTGTGTGTGTTGTTTTAGCTGGCGGGGGGTCATGCTCTTAAAGGATGCTCTTGTGTCCCAGGTCCGACGGTATGTTTGCTCCCTCGGACATCCCTCTCGATTGGCCCTCCTCCGACTTCCTGCCCGCTGGCGCCGACAGCGGTGAGGGCACGCGCGCCAGCGCCGTGGTCGGCGACGGCCGCGGCGGCACGCGCTGCTTCGCCGGCCGCCCGCGGCGCACGAGGGCGGAGGCGCAGCAGGACGCGGCCCTGGCAGCGCTGCACGCGCTGGCGAGCGAGAGGGGCGAGGAGGGCATCCTCGGAGGGGGGCACGGTCGAGGCAGCGGCCCCGAGTTCCTGGCGCCGCCGGTTGTCACAGCAGCATCACGCGCTGTTTTGTTGTTGGCCACCGGAGGCCATCCAAACATGTTTTTTTGGGGCTACCGGTTGCCGTTCCAAAAATGTGCAAAACAACAATCCTGTAATATCCCATGTCGTTCTATGTTTTCTCGTGTGGCAGTTGGTCGCCAGAAAAACGTGTCATGCTCCATCCCGCGGCGGGGCAATCTCTTGGCTCTGCGTCGGGCCGCTGGGGCCTTCTCGCGCAGCGACCCAGCTCGCGAGATGCCGCGGGAGGGTCTGGGGGCTCGGGAGGTGATTTGGGCGAGGGGGAGCAATAAATGGGGGGGCGATAAATGGGGGGGAGCGATCAATGGGGGGCAGCGGGTGAGGGCGATAAATGGGGGGAGCGATAAATGGGGGGAGCGATAAATGGGGAGCGATAAATGGGGGGAGCGATTTGGGCGAGGGGGAGCGATAAATGGGGGGGCAGCTTTCGGGCCCCGTCAAGGGGCCCTGGAGGGCCCAAGGGGGCCCCTGAGGGCCCGAAAAGTGCAACCCTCCCCCCCCCCCCCCAGTTGGGGATCTGCCATCTGCCCTTCGAAACCTGAAGGAAGCGGCCAGTGGGGCCCAGGCCACGCCCACAGGGGAAAGGGGTCGGTCCGGCGATGCTCACTGGCGGGAGAGAACCGCCGTGGTCTCCGCGGGCCCTCCTCCGAGCTTCGGCCTGCTGCCGCCGGGCCCCGAGGAGCTTGCCGCCAGCTCACCTCTCTCCTCGGAGACGCTGGGCGCGCTGGAGGACGTGGGCGCCCGAACTATCCGGGGTAACTCGGGTCCGGGGTAAGTCGGGTTCGGAATCCCGAAAAACGAACCCGAGTTAGCCCTGACCCGAGTTACCTCTGATGATTCGGGGCTCTGAAGGACTGCTTCTTCGGCGTGGCCGGCAGCAGCGCCAGCACTTCCCGGCCGGACCCGGGCTGCCTGGAGGGCACCAGGATCGGCTGCACGCAAGAGTGACCCCTTCGCCAGGGTGACCCTTCGGTGCGCGGTGTCGCGGGGTCGCGGGGGAGGCCCAGACCGAAGCACGCAGGCCGCCACTCTTGCATAGCACGCAACGGCCGGCATGTCGCCTTACAGAGGTGATTCTCGCACATTGGGATCACCGCGGCGGCTGCTAGAGAGATAGGGAGTCATTTCAAGCGGATGTTGAGATTGGTTTTAAGATATTGCTTAACACAGCTTACAAGTGGGCTACAGGTACCCTAAATGGCTTGGGTGGGTCCGGTCCGATGACTAGGTGAGCGCATCCCACTCAGTCCAGATCTCAAGCCACTCAGGGCACGCCTATTCCACTTATGCGCGATGCCAGGCTCCATATATAAGCCACATGAACATCCGCTTATCATCCCCTGTTGCACCTGGCAACCCCCGCGGCCATACAAGCAGGGCCACTCTTGCACGTGAGCGACGCAGCAAATGGGGCCGCCTGCGCCGTCGTGGGCGCGCAAGTGGTCTGCAGAAGAGGCCGCGCGTCAGCGCCCTCTCGTCTCCAGCGTGTAGCGTGCCGCGCTGGCGGCCCGCGGAAGCTGTGGCGCAAGGCCGCCATGCCATCTCGCGTAAGGCCCGCTTCTCTTTGTCGCTCCCGTGGGCGACAGGATCGTGCTGCAGTATAGGGTCGCGGTCGAGAGCCTCTCCGCGCCCGCGTCGCAGCCTGCCCTCGTGCTCGAGGAGTGCGCGGGCCTCCGGCTCACCGTCGGGGCCCGCGTCGTGCAGGAGCCCATGGAGCGGTTGGCCCTGGCCGCCCCGCTTGGGGAGCCCCTCCCGGGGAAACGAAGGGCTCGAGCTCGCCGGAGCTCGGGTTCGCCGACGCTTTCTTTGACGAGCCACTCTCGGATCTTGACGCTTCGGTTCCTGCGGCACGTTGACAGCGGGGGCTCGCGTCAATCGGCTACACACACGAGAGACCCTTCGCTGGAGTGACCTGTGGTGCGGGCCCAGCATGGCAGGGTCCCCCGATCGCCGAACGCGATGCGATAGTGGCGTCCTGCGCGCTTGTGTGTGTAGTCTCCCCGCGGCTCCCGAAGAGCCGCGCACCACAAGTCACACTCGCCCAGCGTGTAGCCGAGTCAGATCTAAGACTGGGTCTCGCCATTCTCCTGACGACCCTACTGTCGGGGCCTTGAAGAAGCGACCCTTTTCGTTGGGGAGGGGCTCCGCAGTCCTTAAGTGTTTCACAGCTTGCCTCAGGTTCCCCTCATGTTTTCGATAGGAAATCGAAGTTCAACTTATGGAACAAAAGGGGCCTCGTTCCTTATTTAGGGTTCCTTAGGTCAAGGCCCCGACTGTATCGGGCCAGCCCGGGGCCCCCCGAGCCTGAGGCCTTGGCGTTTCCCCGGCCCTCGAGCTCTGTGCCGCGTGCCTGCACGAGGGCCAGCACCGGCGGCTGCGGCTGGAGCTCCGCGTGCTCGAGCGCCTGCCGCCGAGCGCGGAGGGGCCCGACTCCTCCTCGAGGGGCCGAGAGTGGCATGAAGGGAGTCTTCTTGGAAGCTCTTTTCCAGCATGCATGATCTACTTTTTGCATCCGTGTGCACGAGGAGTACATATTCAAAGTATGGTGGTGGTGGTGAGGAGGAGGAGGAGGAGGAGGAGGAGGAGGAGGAGGAGGAGGAGGAGGAAGAGGAGGAGGAGGAGGAGGAGGGGAGAGTGATCAGTTGTACCTCCGCCCGGGACGTCCCCAGGCTACTAAAGGCAGTGAGATGCCACCAGTGGCCGCGAAAGGCCACTGAAGGCCGTTGAAGGGCTGACGAAGGCTAGAGAGGTCCCTGACAGCACACTGCAGGCGGTCATAGGCCACCAGAGGCTCCTGAACGGAGGCGGCATCTGTTAGAATGATGTTCCAGAGAGACTCGCCTAGTTCTTGGATCGGCGCCGGACCCCCTCCCTGGCGCGCCAGGGGCGGCGTTGGAGTCGCCGCCATGGGGGCTCCACCGCCGATCCGATGGATCCGCGCGGACCTGCGAACGTGCATGTTCATGTCACTGTCTGGTCCTCGATCCTCGGACGAGCACGAGTGCCCAGGGCAGTTCTCGCCACCGCTGGGGCAGCAGCGCCTAGACGCCATCGTGCACATGTGGAGGAATGAACAACAGCATAATCATAATCGTTCGGAGCTCCGCGTGAATTTCCTGGATGTGCGCTGGCCCCCTCCTAGCGGCGTCTCGGGCGTCGCCACTGGCGCGCTCCGCGTGCCAGGGAGGTGGGGTCCGGCGCCGATCCACGAAATTCGCGCAGATTTCCGAAGGTTTATGCGCACGGTAGGTTCACGCGGTGATGGCGCGCCAGCGACGCCAGCGAAGGCGTTTAGGGTTGAATCTTGCGACGCGGAAGCACCGAGCGACCCGAAGACGCCGTCGGACCCGACGGGATTCCAGGTTGAACGATCCGGGCCGCGATGGATTCAGGGCTGAGCGATCGACGCGGTGTCGAACACTTTGCGCGCGCCGACGCCGCACGAATCTGTCGCACAGTCGGGGCCCTGAAGAAGGAACCCTTCTCGTTGAGGAGGGGCTCCGCGTTCCTCAAGTGTTTCGCAGCTTGCCTCAGGTTTTCCTTAGGTTTTCGATCGGAAAGCGAAGCTTAACCTATGGAAAAAAAGGGGCCTCGTTCCTTATTTAGGGTTCCTTAGGTCAAGGCCCCGACTGTAAAAGCGAGGCATCAACATGTCTGGATCCAGGATTTTGTTGCAGCCGTCCAAATCGGTGCAGGTAGACCTGCAGCAGGCACGCCACATAAGGATCCAGCCTGCTGGCAGGTGCCCCGCAGAAGCGTCCTGTCCCCCCCGATAGCCTTGGGGCCCCACAGAAGGCGCGGGGTCCTTGTAGGGCACTCAAAGCTCGACGAAGAATGTGGTCCAAAAATTCTTCACGTTTTTCGTTTTTCGTTTTTCGTTCCTCCAGCATGCTCTGCCTGCGCGGCGCGCGGAGCGCCGTGGACCTGGGCTGCGGGGGGGGCCGGCTGCTGGAGGCCCTCCTCGCCGCGGGGCTGGAGCACGTCGTCGGGGTCGAGCGCTCGGAGAGGAGCGGTGGCCACATGCGAACCCTGCCCCCCCGCCCCTCCTCCTCCTCCTCCTCCTCCTCCTCCTCCTCCTCCTCCTCCTCCTCCTCCTCCTCCTCCTCCTCCTCCTCCTCCTCCTCCTCCCCCCCTCCCCCCCCTCCTCCTCCTTCTCCTCCTCCTCCTCCTCCTCCTCCTCCTCCGCCTCCCACGATTTCTAACAGAAGATGGTGGGGGGGGGTCCACTTCGTTCGGGAGCTCCCGAGCGGAGGGAGCCCCTACAGTCGGGACCCTGAAGAAGGAACCATTTTCGTTGGCGAGGACCCCCCCACGATTTCTAACGGAGGTGTGGGGGGGTCCTCTTCGTTCTCAGGAGCGACAAAAAGGACGTGCGCGTACATGAATCCACGCTGGTTTCGAGAGTACGCATTGCGCAAATGTCCGTATCACGCGGCCGGTCTCGCGGATCGAGGGGCCGTGTTCATGTACATAGCTGGGCGCGCACGTCCTTTGTAGGCTCCCTAACTTCGTTCGGGAGCTCCCGAGCGGAGGGAGCCCCCACAGTCGGGGCCCTGAGGAAGGAACCCTTTTCGTTGGCGAGGGGCTCCACGTTCCTTCAGTGTTTCACAGCTTGCCTCGGGCTTTCCTTGGGTTTTCGATAGGGGATCCAAGTTTAACTTGTGGAACAAAGGGGCCTCGTTCCTTATTTAGGGTTCCTTAGGTCAAGGCCCCGACTGCACCCCCCCTTTAGATAGAAGACGTGGGAGGTGGGGGGGTTGGGGTTCCCGCGTGGCCCCCTGCAGAGGAGGGCCCGGGCGGCGAGGAGGCGGGCAGAGGCCGCGTGCGGCGAGGGCCAGGCGCAAGGTGCCCGAAAATTCGGAGGAGGAGCAGGTGCACCGATGCCCTCCTCCTCCTCCTCCTCCTCCTCCTCATCCTCCTCCTTCTCCTCCTCCCTCCTCCTCCTCCTCCTCCTCCCCTCCTCCTCCCCCTCCTCCTCCCCCTCCTCCCCCTCCTCCTCCTCCCTCCTCCTCCTCCTCCTCCTCCTCCTCCTCCTCCTCCTCCTCCTCCTCCTCCTCCTCCTCCTCTCCTCCTCCCTCCTCCTCCCCCCCTCCCTCCTCCTCCTCCTCCTCCTCCTCCTCCTCCTCGTCCTCCTCCTCCTCCTCCTCCTCCTCCTCCTCCTCTCCTCCTCCTCCTCCTCCTCCTCCTCCTCCTCCTCCTCTACGCTTTCCTCATGTTTGCCCTTGTGGGGCGTCCCGGGAGGCCCTCGTCGCCACCGCCGGATTCGCTTCGGAGTTCTCCTGGTCAGAACGCACTCTGGGAGAGGGCCGGGGATTAGCGGGATCGGGACCCGTTGGTCCCTTCAGGAATGGGAGCAGTACGCCATGTCACCCGCGGGGGCGCCAAGAGCCAAGAGAATCGCGCTTCGCGCGCGCGGTCTGGGGCTTGGGCGGGTGCCTTTCTCCGAAGGGGGCGGCATGATGGTGCGGAGATGATTGCGAGTCGCGCATCGCGTGTCACCACGCGCAAGAGTAGGTGACCCAGATGCGTGTGTGAATGCAGGGCGGAGGGTTCTATGTCGATTTCACGGCGCACGTTTCTGATTCGTTGCGTTCGCCGCCCGTCCAACAGCAGACGTTGTCGATCTCGATCTCGCGCAGCAGTTGCTGTCGGACATCGTCCGCATCGGTGTTGTCGCCGTCTCAGTCGCGTGAGCAGGTTTGCGAGGTCGTGGTCGCGGACCTGCTCGTGCCGGATGAGCGGTGGATGCACGTGGATGCGGTGGTCTGCAGCGAGGTCCTCGAGCACTTGACCGAGGCTGACCTCTCTCGCCTGGGCCGCGCGGTGCTGGGCCCCATGCCAGAGGTGGCTATTGTCACTACGCCGAACGGCGAGTTTCGCTTCTCCGGGCAGGGCAGCACCGATGGACCGCGCGGCTCCCTGAGGCACTCCGACCACGAGCGCGAGTGGACCCGTGCGCAATTCCTCGAGTGGGCTGGCCGCTCGGCTTCAGGCCACGGATACATTCGGCGGCGAGCGGGGGGGGGGTGAGAAGAAGAAGAAGAAGAAGAAGAAGGCCATCTCAGAAGCCCCCCGCGCCTTCTGAGAGGGTGTCTGTGTCTTCGGGGAAGGCTCATGAAACTTCTCAGAAGGCCTGGGGACTTCCGAGCCGTCTGAGAAGGCCCCCTCCTTCTCACTTACCCCCCTCGCTCGCCGCCGATACATGCTGGAGTCGCCGACCGGTGTCGGCTACCTCCCAGGCCATGAGGATCAGGGGCCATGCACGCAGATCGGGATTTTCAGCAGGACATCGGCATGCAGACCGATGTTCGCCGAGCTCCACGGAGGTGGTGCCGCCGGATCCCTGCAGTCGCGGCAGGCACAGGTCGGCGCAAAGCAGGACCTGGCGTTTATTGTGGCCTCAGCCCTTCGGGTGGAGGAGCTCGCCTCGCGAGGCAGTCTCCGGAAGCACGTGCACCGTGAAGGGGAGGGAGACTGCCCCGCCTACCACTCCCGCATCCGCGTGCACTACGCCACTGTCCTGCTGGACGGGACCTGCGTGGACAGCAGCCGAGACAAGAACCGCATCACCCCGGTGGCGTTCCAGCTGGCCGGTGGCAAGGCGCACGAGGCGTGGCACCGCTCGGTGGCGACCATGCGCCGGGGCGAGGTGGCGTGGGTCGAGAGCCCGCCCGAGTACGCCTTCGGGCCCCTGGGCGCGCCGCCCCTGATCCCTGCCGGCCAGGCCCTCTGGTTCAAGCTCGAGCTCGTGGACTTTCGGCCGCCGGGCACCGTGCGCGGCTGCACGGAGCTCGCCCCGGCGCTGGAGGAGGCAGAGAGGCACCTCGGGACGGGCCGCGAGGACATCAAGCGGTCGGCCTTCGCACAGGCCCGCCAGGCCTTCCGGCGGGCGCGCGTTGCCATCCCTGACAAGATGCTCGTGGGTCAGCCAGCCGTGGACGTCGCGAGGTTTTCGACTACACAGAAGAGCGACCTTTCGCAGGAGTGTCCTTTGGTGCGGGCCCATTGGGGTCCCCCGATCGCCTATCGCGATGCGATAGTAGCGTCTTGCGCGCTTGTGCCTGGTCCCCCCGCGGCCCCCAAAACCGCGCACCGAAGGTCTCTCCTCTTACGCATGGTCACTCCTGCGTGTATCCGAGGTTTGCGCGGGTGGAGCGGTCATCCCTCCTCAACCAGGCTTTGTGCTCGCAGAAGCTCGCGGAGGGCGCCGAGGAGCTTGCCGAGCGCCAGGGCCATTGGGCGGACGTCGTACGCGTCTGCAGCACGCTTTTGAGGCGGCACTCACAGGGCGCGGAGGCGGCTGAAGCGGAGCACCGCCAGGAGGCGGGCGGCGACCTCGCGGCAGTGGCCGCCGCGATCAGGGCGGCCTCGGCAGACAGCGTCAACGACTGGGCGGCGAAGGCATCCTGGGGAAGCCCCAGAACTACAGATGCCGCCCCTCCCCGGACCTCCCCTGGTGGGCGTTCTGACCAGGACCCGGAGGCGAAGCCAGCCGTGGCGACGAGGGCCTCCCAGGTGCCCCCCAGGAGGCCCAGGGAGGCGAGAGCGAGGCAAGGGCGCGGTATTGGTGCCAACATCCCACCTCCAGCTTCCGACATCCGCCTATCGACTTCCAGTTTCTGTCTCACTTGACCGGCCTCCAGCTTCCAGCCTCCGACTCCCAGCACCCACCAGCTGCCGACGCCCACCTCCCCACTCCAGCGACTCCCGAGGGCTCCGGCCTCACCACGCTGCCCTCGAAGGGCCGGGCCCGACGGACCGACAATCGCGCGCTCGCCTCGCTCGCCTCGCCTCGCCTCCCGCGAGGCCTACTTCCGCCGCGGGCTGGCCCGCGAGGGCTTGGGCTACCTCTAGGGGGCCGCATGCGAACCCTGGCCCTACCCCTACCCCCTACGATTTCTGAGGGGGAGGGTGGGGCTCACTCCGCTCGGGAGCTCCCGAACGGACCGAACCCCACCCTCCCCGTCAGAGATCGTGGGGGGTAGGGGTAGGGTTCGCATGTGGCCCCCTAACCTCACCGACGCGGTGGGCGACCTCGAGGCCGCGCGCGGTCTGCAGCCCGAGGACGCCGCGGTGGGGCGGCGCCTGCACGCCGCGAGGCAGCGCCAGCACAAAGCGGAGCTGCGGCCCTCGAGGATCGGGCGGGTATTTCGCGGAGGGAAGAAGGGGGAGGAGGAGGAGGAGGAGGAGGAGGAGGAGGAGGAGGAGGAGGAGGAGGGGAGGAGGAGGAGGATGAGGAGGAGGAGGAGGAAGGAGGAGGAGGAGGAGGGGAGGGGAGGAGGAGGAGGAGGAGGAGGAGGAGGAGGAGGAGGAGGAGGAGGAGGAGGGAGGAGGAGGAGGAGGGAGGGGAGGAGGAGGAGGAGGAGGAGGAGGAGGAGGAGGGAGGAGGAGGAGGAGGAGGAGGAGGAGGAGGAGGAGGAGAGGAGGAGGAGGAGAGGAGGAGGAGGGAGGAGGAGGAGGAGGAGGAGGAGGAGGAGGAGGAGGAGGAGGAGGAGGAGGAGGAGGAGGAGGAGGGGGGGACCTCAAAGCGGGGGTGAAGAAAGGGGCCCTGCAGGGCCCCGTGTGAGTCCCTGTTGGGTTTCAAAGGGGCCCTAAAACGGGCCCCTTTAGGGCCCCTTCTCTGGCCTCCCCCCCAGTCAGGTCACCCCCCCATCCAGTCAACCCGCATGGTGAGTCGCGTTCGCGGCCCGCGCCCCGCCCGCAGAGTGTCGACATGGCCTTTGAAGGCCCTTGCGTCCTTCTCATACGGGTTGACTTCAGGAGGGGAAAAAACACACAGACACAATTCATCCTCCATTCCCCAGAAAATATGGAAAAATATGGGAAGTGGGGGGGAAGACAGAAACCCAGAAAATATAAGGAAATATGGGGGATTGTTTTATTTGTGTGTATTTATTTGTGTGTTCCAGTTCCCCTTCATGACTGTTGCACCCGCCCCGAGAGGATGTTCGCCGGCATCCTGGAGCGCGAGCGCGCGGAGCGCGAGCGGGAGGACACAGGGGCTGGGAGGAAGAGGTGCCCACACCGCTGCCCTTCCCGCGCTCTCCCCTCGTGGGGCCTCCCGGGAGCCCCTCGTCGCCACCGCTGGGTCGCCCCGAGATGCTCGGGGGCGGAAAAGAGGGGGGTGATGACTAGGGGGGGGTGGAGATCATGGCGGGGGCCATGATTTTTCCCCAGATCTCATGGCGCCTCTTCTTATTTCATTACGTCCCTGGCCCCCCCGTCGGGCCGCGCACATGCCGCCGGTCATGATTAGCACCCCCCCCTCTTTGACGCCCCCCTCTTGGCCGCTCCCGAGATGCTGGTCAGGGGGCGCCCCGGGAGAGCGCGATGGGGCGCGCAGCAGTGGGAGGGCGGTACGATGAAGGGGGGCAGCGAGGGCTGCAGAAAGGGGCCCCATAGGGCCCGCGGAGGAGCCCTGCAGGGACCTTCCTGAGGAGCCCTTCAGGGCCCCGGGTGGGGGCTTCGAGGGCCCGAGAAGGGCACATTGCTTCCCCCCCAATCTGTCGCCCCCCATGAGGTTGCGCTCAATCAGAGGGTGCGTTCGAAGGTTTTCCTCTCTCCAGGATGCCACGGGCTTCCAACAAGATCCCGTCTTGCTCCGCACGGGCTCCTCGGGGACGGGGGGCGAGGGCCCCGCCAGGCATGTTTTGTTAGATGTCCTGGAGAGCATCCAGAGGACGCAGGGTCCCTGTCAGACTCGGTGCAGGGCCGAGTATCGACTAGACTTACGTCGGGCATGTCCCTCTACAGGAGCCAGGTTCAAGAAATAGTGAACAAATAGTATGGGGACGACTTGTGCTAGTATTTCTGTCAATTTTGGAATATCCGTAAGGGCTTCGCCCCCTGCCGCCGGCCCCCCTCTCCATCATAATGGGATATAACAGAGTCGCGTCGGTGCGTCTCGGCGCTGCCTTGGCGCATCTGGGAACAGCATGCGGGGGCGGATATGCGTCATCAGCGCATATTGAAATGTTGGCGTTATCGAAGACGCCTACGGCGAATCACCGCCGCCCCCTGCCTTTTTGGAAGCGCCTGCGTGGCCGAAAGTTGGGTTTGAGCTTGGCCAAGCTAGCGGGACACGCGTTCCCCGAGTGGGTTTCGAAAGCCTTGGGGAACACGGACTTGGGCGAGCTATCGGGCCAGGTGCTTTCCGAGCTTTCGGGCCTCTTGGAGGACGTCTTGGAAGGGTCTTTGGCCGTCTTGGAGGCCCCTGGCGGGCCTTCTAGGCAGTCTAAGGCCATCTTCAGGCCATCTGGGGCCGTTCTTGGGTGCATCTTGGGGCCAACTTCGCCGTCTTGGAGGCCTTCTAGGCCGTCTTGGAGGCATCTTGGAGGCCATCTTGGCCGTCTTGGAGGCCATCGTGAGCGTCTTGGGGGCCTCTTGGGCGGTCTTGGGGTCTTGTTGGGGCCCTCTTGGAGGCCTCTTGGCTTGTCATGGGGCCATCTTGGAGGCCTCTTGAGCGCTCTTGGGGCGATGTTGGGGGCCTCTTGGGCCGTCTTGGGCCGTCGGAGCGCGAAAATGGCCGTCTTGGGCTGTCGGAGCGCGAAAATGATTTTGGCCTCTTCGGGCCTTCCTGGTGGAGCTCTTCTGGTCGGCACCGCCTTTGCGTGGCACCAGCGTTAAACGAGCAGCTTTTGCGGCGGCAGCTGTATTGCCAGGGTGTCCCGCTGCAGGGGTCGTTCGGCCGTCCGCGCCAGGGCGCCCAGCTCTGCAAAAGAAAATGCTTGGCACGCAAGCACCGATATTTTTTGTCGGGGAGCCTTCTTGGGGCCCCCTTGAGCAGTCTTAGGTCATCTTGGAGCCATCTTGGGCCGTCGTGGAGGCATAGTGGGCGCCTCTTGGGCCACCTTCGGCTCCCTTGGGGATAGTTCTGCTGTCGTGGATGCCATCTTGGTCGTCTTGGAGGTCGTCTTGGCAGTCTTGAGGTATCTGGGAGACCATCTTGGCCTTTTTTGAAACATCTTGGGCCGTCTTGGGGCCCTCTTGGGGCTGGCTTGAAGGCCTCTTGGGCCGTTCTGGAGCCATTTTGGAGGCCTCTGGGACTAGTTTGGGGACTCCTTGGGCCGTCTTAGGCGATCGGAACACTAATACCGAGGAAAAACACATCTTTAAACAGCTCAAGGAATATTCAAGATTTTGGCTTCCTCGGGCCTTCCTGGAGCATCTCTTGGACTCCTATGGGGCAATCTTGGAACCTCTCGGGTCCATCTTGGGCCATCTTGGCCGTCTTAGCGGCCATCTTGGCCGTCTTGAAGCTCATTTTGACCGTGTTGGAAGCATCTTGTAGGCCATCTTGGCCGTCTTGGAGATCGTCGTGGGCGTCTTGGAGTCCTATGGAGCCGTCTTGGCGCCCTCTTGGGGCCGTCTTGGGAATCTCTTGGGCCGTCATAGAGCCATCTTGGAGGCCTCTTGGGCGCTTTGGGGGCGATCTTTCGGGCTCCTTGGGCCTTCGTGAGCCGTCGGAAGGCTCGGAAAGAACGAAAGCCAAAATCCTTCAAACATCTAAGGAAAACTACCTCTTCGGGCTCTCGTGGAGGACCTCTTGGAGGCCTTTTGGGCCGTCTTGGAGGCCTATTGGAGGCTTCTGGGGCCGTCTTGGGCCGTCTGAGAGGTTTCTTGAGCGAACTTGGAGGCATCGTGGACTTTCCTGGGCCGTCCTGGAGGCCATCTCGGACCATCTTGGGCGAACCTGGAGGCCATCTTGGCTATCTTGGAAGCCATCTTGGAGCCGTCTGGAGTCGAAAAACCCTTTGCAACCACCTGTTACGCATCTCCGGCGGGACGGGCCGAAACCCCAGGGGGAGTTCTTTTAGAAAAGAACCAAAACCAAAAGCGAAAGGGTCTAGCACGCCGGGCATTCCTGGGATGAATCAACAGGGGACGGCAGATCGAAGACGCCTACGGCGAATCACCGCCGCCCCCTGCCTTGTTGGAGGCGCCTGCGTGGCCGAAAGTTGGGTTTGAGCTTGGCCAAGCTATCGGGCCACGCGTTCCCCGAGTGGGTTTCGAAAGCCTTCGGGGAACACGGACTTGGGCGAGCTATCGGACCAGGTGGTTTCCGAGTTTTCGGGCCTCCTGTAGGACGTCTTGGAGGGGTCTTAGTCTGTTTTGGAGGCCCCCGCCCGAGACGTCCTCCAAATTCAGGTCTCAGGAAACCAAGAGTGACGACGGGTACAGGTTTCCAATGACCCGCTCGGATTGCCAACATGAAATGCGGGTCCTATAGGGAGGGGGCTCCCGCCTGAGACGTCCTCGCAATTCACTCGCAGGCGAGGCTCCCGCCTGAGACTTCCTCCGAATTCAGGCTTGAGGAGCCCAAAAGGCGACGACAGTTGCAAGAGGCCGATGTCCCGTTCGGATCGCCAACATGCAGGGCGGGCCCCATATGGTGGGGGTTCCCGCCTGAGACTTCTTTGCAATCCACTCACAGACGAGACGAGGCTCCCGCCTGAGACGACCTCCAAGTTCAGGCTTGAAGAGCCCAAAAGTGACGACAGTTGCAGGAGGCCGATCACCCGCTCGGATTACCAACGTGAGGTGCGGGCCCCATAGGGAGGGGGCTCCCGCCCGAGACTTCGTCGCAATTCACTTACAGACGAGGCTCCCACCTGAGATGAGTGAGTGAGTGAGTGAGTGAGTGAATATGATGTTGATGATGATGATGATGATGATGATGATGATGATGATGATGATGATGATGATGATGATGGTAATGGTAATGATGTTGATGGTGATGGTGATGATGATGGTGTTGATGATGATGGTGATGATGATGATGGTGATGATGATGATGCTGGTGATGATGATGATGATGATGATGATGATGATGATGATGATGATGATGATGATGATGATGAGAGTGTGAGTGAGTGAGTGAGTGAGTGAGTGAGTGAGTGAGTGAGTGAGTGAGTGAGTGATGAGTGGGCAGTTTGGTGGGTGAGTGAATGGGTGAGTGGGTGAGTGAGTGCGTGTATGAGTGATGATGATGATGATGATGATGATGATGATGATGATGATGATGATGATGATGATGATGATGATGATGATGAGAGTGTGTATGTGTGTGAGTGGGTGAGTGTGTGGGTGAGTGAGGATGTGTGTGAGTGTGTGATTGGGTGGGTCAGTGGGTGAGTGAGTGAACGTGAGTGATGATGTGTGTGTGAGTGATTGAGTGAAATGAGTGTGCGATGAGAGCAGAGGAGAGGATGTATTCTCTGTTTCCTGCGCGGGGGGTCTGGAGAACACAAGAACCCCACCGTGGATGTGGGAAACAAGAACCCCACTTAGGATGTGGGGGAAAAACGCTCTCTCATCCGAGCCTCCTCGCAGGCCCCCGCCCCAAGGAGGCCGCCCGCGCGCTGGAGCAGCGCCGCCAGCGCAGGGACGAGCGGCTGCGCCGCCAGGCGGGCAGCGCCGCGGTGGCCCCGCAGTGCGGCTGAGCCGCCCTGGCTGCGGCCCCGGCGGCGGCGGCGGCGGCAAGTCGCGCGCGCACGCGCGCGCCATTGGCGGCCCACGCTTGAAAAAAAAGAAGAATAAGAAGAAGAAGAAGAAGAAGAAGAAAAAGGAGGAGAAGAAGGAGGAGAAGAAGGGACCGGACAGCAAGAGCAAGAACCGGATGCACCTGGGGGCCCGGGGAGAAAGAGTGAGGCTGATGGCGCCTGTGTTGCGCCGCGCTGTGCGGGTGCAGAGGTGGCCCGAGCGTGGGCCCCAGCCCCCTGCGGAGGGAGCTGAGGCCCGCCTCGGCACGCCTCTCTGGGAGTGGGGCCGCCTCCGTCGTAAGGAAGGGCCCAGAGGGCGAGAGGAGGAAGGGGTCCTTGGTGTTGTGCGTCGCGGACGCAGCGCAAGGGTTGGAAGAACGGCGACGCATGGTTTTGGTCTCCCCCCGGGCTCGGGGGGCGCCCTCGGCGGTCTCCGTGGGACCGTCCACCCTGCCTGTCCAGAGTGCTAAACATTAGCCCTCCAGACCTATAGACCTATCTTTGGCTGCCTGAAACCTCGGCAGGAATTGAGATATCGAGGTCCTGGTGTTATTTTTTACTCCAGATTTCGTAATAAAAGGGAGGGGGTCTGGACCCTCCAAGACAAGCCATTTCAGACCTCCCCCGTGGGAGAACCCTCCAAAACATCGTCCCCAGACCCCCCCAGGCCCTTCAAGATGGCCTGGAAGAGACCCCCCCCGAAATGCGACCCCCCTCCCTTTATTACGAAATCTGGAGCACGGTCGAGACGCTGAGATTTCTCGTGAGGAGTACGGTCTTCGGCCCAGCCCCCAGATCTCTGGCCTAGGGACCTATTTGGGCTGCCTGAAACCTCGACGGGAATCAAGATATCGAGGTCCTGGTGTTATCTTTTAGCCCTCCTGGAAGTCACCACCCACCAAACCACCCCAGCCCAACCCGAAGGCCTCAATTTGCCCTCCATTTCCAGTTGGGGGGGGGTCGGGGAACACTGAAAAAACACACATGGAACCCGTACCCCCCCCAACCCGAAATTGGGGTCGTCGGGTTGGGTTGGGGTGGTCTGGTAGGTAGTCAGGAAGGTCAGGGCACGACAGGCTCCGCGGGATCGCCCGCCCCGGTCGCCCGCGGGGCCGCGGAGGCAACCGCACGCCTCGCGCGCCGCGGTTTGGGCCGGGGCGGCTGCCCTTCGGACGGCGGAGGAGGAGGAGGAGGAGGAGGAGGAGGAGGAGGAGGAGGAGTGAGGAGGAGGAGGAGGAGGAGGAGGAGGAGGAGGAGGAGGAGGAGGAGGAGGAGGAGGAGGAGGAGGAGGAGGAGGAGGAGGAGGAGGAGGAGGAGGAGGAGGAGGAGGAGGAGGAGGGGGAGGGGGGGGAGGAGCGCGGGCGCGAAGAGAGTCGCGGGTCGCGCGTCGGGGTGCGCGGATCGCGAGGTGCGGGGACCAAGGAGACCTCGGGGAGCCCTCGGTGGCCTCCCCGGCGGCCCTCCGCCGCCCTCGGGCGGCCCTCGGGCGGCCCCGGCGACGGAGTTCGGAGGCCTCCGGCGGCCTTCGGGGGCCCTCGGAAGCTCTCAACGCCTACAGGCGGGGCCTCTCTGGCTGCGAACGCACGTGAAGCCTAACTATGGAGGGCGTGCCGCTGGTTCCCCCACAGGGTGGGGACGTCCGGGACCCCCCCCTCCCCCCCCCTCCCAAGTGCGTCGTCCCCCTTTTCCCGATCCGTCGTTCCGGACCCCCCATGCCTCCCACTCTTTCCAGCGGGAGGGGGTTGCTTTGACCATCCCCACTCCCCCTCCCCCCCTTGGACTCGAAAATTCCCCCCCCCTCCCCCTCCTCTGGCCACGCTGACCCCCTGGCTCCTGAACCATACCCCCTAACATTACCGCCCTGACCTGATCACCCAAATTCTGAGACCCTAAACCCAACGCCCCAACTCTTACACCCTATCTGGTAACCCTGACCCTACCACCCGAAGCCTAACACAACTGCTTTCCCCCAGAGCGTCCCACCCTGAACGTGGGGAATCTAGCTGTTCAGCCCCGTCCGGAGAACACAGTCGTCGGAAAGCCCGACCGTACCATCCAGCCAAGCAGGCGCCGGAGCACCCCCCGGCGTGCACGGGCCTGCAGCAAGGCTGAGGAAGATAGCGTGCGCACCTCCGACTTGTTATGCTTATGTCATTGTCTTGGCATCGCTAGGACGTGTTCGTTTTTTTTCTTCGGCGAGGGCCATCGAGGAGCATCCTTGACCATTTGGCAAAACCGCGCACGAAACCGACAAAAAAAAACAGGGAATGGACGTCCAAGCGATGGCGAGTTGTTCGTCCCCCCAGAGACTCGTATACGACATGAACACGAACACTTCGATGGCATTCCCCACGTCTCGCAACGATTACGCTGCTGGCCATCAATGTGATCAGCATCACCACCCCGATCAAATCAACACGGTGACTATAATACAGGCGCCGATTTTTGCCGAAGTCGTTCGTGTTCCACGGTTCGAGCCCGAAGGAGTCTCTCCCGCGCCCATCTCCCGCGTCCCTTGCTTCGGAATTGCGTGGGCCGGGGGTGCGCGCTGATCATACACATGCGCACCCCGCGCGGAGATGAAGAGTTGGCAGACGCCGATGAAGGCAACGACTTCGAGTCTTTGATCAGGCGGGCGAGGCAAGCACACAACCTGAACGTTAGGTGCCTCGAGGCGGAAGTGCAGAGGTTGCGGGAGAGGTTGGCGGCAGTGATGGGGGACCACGGTGACGCGGATATTTTGTACGGCGGAGAACAGCCTGCTGTGCCACCTTTTAGTCGGACGAAAACCGATGATGACCAGATCAGTCAGGAGGTGGCGTTACCCGATGTGAAGGGTCAGCCGAGGCGCGAGATCTCGGGCAGCAGCAAGGGTTTTAGTGAGTTTAGCAATGACACAGGCGTTGGCAGGCGCATTACAGAAATAAGCACTCCAGGCAGTAGGCAAGCAGCAGTCTCCCGTGGGTTCAGCAGCACCTTGCGGCGGCAAGCATCGTGGGAACGGTTTCTGGCAAGAAAAGGTGTTTTGTTTAGGGTCGTGCAGCACCCTGCCTTCGAAATGTTCGTCGCTGGCATGATCCTCATCAACGGTTGCGTTATGGCTGCCGAGTCGCAGTACCATGGTTTCGATCTTGCCGTATGGACTGGTCATAGTAGTGCAGATGGTGTATCATCCAGTGTGTGGCCACATGGCGAAGCGGTGTTTGAAATCTGTGATTGGGTTTTCGGGGCATTTTTCGCTGCCGAGATTGTCATCAAAGTCGTCGGCCTCCGCCTCGAGTTCACAAAGGATTGCTGGAATTGGGTTGATCTTTCAGTGGTTGCGTTGTGGATCCAGTTCTGCTGTCGCGCGTTCGCTCCGCCGCGCTGTGGAGGGGGGGGGGGAGGGGGCGGTGGCGGTGGAGGCGCCGACGGCCCAGATTCAGAGTGTTCCCATGGGCTCTCCCCCCAGAGGCCAGAAAGACGTCGCGGCGCGACGCACAATAGCGTCGGGCGAGTGGTAATGGGGGGTGACCTACATGGTGGGTGAAGAAAGGGGTCCTGCATTGACCTTGGCTTAGGATGTTACCCCGTACCAGCTGTCTCGCGAACGCCGCGTTGTATGAAAAGGCGCCAGGTGAGGACGCCACGCCCTCGGACGCCCACGACGCTGAGAAAACTGCGCAGCGGCGCCGTGCCAAAAATACCCTAGGCTGCGCGGCTGGGAGATCGTGGGGCGCAAGGGGCAGCCCTGACGAGGCATCGCACTCTTACAGGGCCCATTTTTGAGGCGGCGGGGGCCCGGAAGGGCCCAACTGGCGCCCCTCTTGCTCCACCCGTCACCCAGGCCGAGGCCGCCCGCCCGAGAGCGGCCCCCCACGTCAGGCACGCGCGCTGCGCAGAGACTTCTCGGGAGGAGCACGGCCGAGACGCCGAGACAGGGGCTTCGGGCCCCAGACCCCCTCGGGTCGTGAAAAAATCACGACGGGAGGTTTTTCTACATTTTCGGCCCCCGGGGGCCCTTATAAGCACTCCAGGCAGTAGGCAAGCAGCAGTCTCCCGTGGGTTCAGCAGCACCTTGCGGCGGCAAGCATCGTGGGAACGGTTTCTGGCAAGAAAAGGTGTTTTGTTTAGGGTCGTGCAGCACCCTGCCTTCGAAATGTTCGTCGCTGGCATGATCCTCATCAACGGTTGCGTTATGGCTGCCGAGTCGCAGTACCATGGTTTCGATCTTGCCGTATGGACTGGTCATAGTAGTGCAGATGGTGTATCATCCAGTGTGTGGCCACATGGCGAAGCGGTGTTTGAAATCTGTGATTGGGTTTTCGGGGCATTTTTCGCTGCCGAGATTGTCATCAAAGTCGTCGGCCTCCGCCTCGAGTTCACAAAGGATTGCTGGAATTGGGTTGATCTTTCAGTGGTTGCGTTGTGGATCCAGTTCTGCTGTCGCGCGTTCGCTCCGCCGCGCTGTGGAGGGGGGGGGGGGAGGGGGCGGTGGCGGTGGAGGCGCCGACGGCCCAGATTCAGAGTGTTCCCATGGGCTCTCCCCCCAGAGGCCAGAAAGACGTCGCGGCGCGACGCACAATAGCGTCGGGCGAGTGGTAATGGGGGGTGACCTACATGGTGGGTGAAGAAAGGGGTCCTGCATTGACCTTGGCTTAGGATGTTACCCCGTACCAGCTGTCTCGCGAACGCCGCGTTGTATGAAAAGGCGCCAGGTGAGGACGCCACGCCCTCGGACGCCCACGACGCTGAGAAAACTGCGCAGCGGCGCCGTGCCAAAAATACCCTAGGCTGCGCGGCTGGGAGATCGTGGGGCGCAAGGGGCAGCCCTGACGAGGCATCGCACTCTTACAGGGCCCATTTTTGAGGCGGCGGGGGCCCGGAAGGGCCCAACTGGCGCCCCTCTTGCTCCACCCGTCACCCAGGCCGAGGCCGCCCGCCCGAGAGCGGCCCCCCACGTCAGGCACGCGCGCTGCGCAGAGACTTCTCGGGAGGAGCACGGCCGAGACGCCGAGACAGGGGCTTCGGGCCCCAGACCCCCTCGGGTCGTGAAAAAATCACGACGGGAGGTTTTTCTACATTTTCGGCCCCCGGGGGCCCTTACCGGGCCTCGGGACCGTGAAAAAACGACTCGGGATGAAAAACCGGTCCCAGGGAAGGGGTCCGGACCTCTGGGGGCCGCGTCATGAAAAAATCATGACGTCGGTGGTCTGGGGTCTTCGGCCCAGCCCCCAGGTCTCTGGCCCGGGCCCGCCGTGGCCCGAAACGCCCCTTCGTTCCTCGTTCTGCGTTACTGATGGCGGCGCGAGGGCCGCAGGATCGACCAGCAGCAAGGGGCACGATGCACACCGGCCGCGACGCAGCGCGGCGGCAGATGTATAGTCGCCTCGACGTGGACGTGGACGTGAACGCGCAGATGCTGCGCCTCGCGCGCCTCTCGCGGTTAGCCAGGCTGCTTCGGCTCTTCCGGCACATGCACCACCTCAGGTTTGATTCCTTGTACCTTCTGTCGACCTCTCGGGGATCAAACAATGACACACACACATATATATATATATATATATATATTGTCGGAGGTCTGCGCGGATCTCTTAGATCGGCGTTGGAGCCCCCTGGCGGCGCCTTCGGCGCCGCTCTTTGCGCGCTCCGCGCGCCTTGGAGGAGGGTCACGCGCCGATCTAAGAGATGCAAGCGGACCTCCGAAATCTTATGTGTATGTCATTGTTTGTTCCCCGAACCTCGCTCAAGGGAAGCGTGGCGATCCTGGGATGGTCTTTGGCGCTGTTGGTGGTCATGCACATGCTGCTAGCGCTGGCTGTCAATCAGGCCCTCCAGGAGTATTACTTTCAGAAGAGCCAGGCCGAAGAGCAGGTTGTGGTTTTCGAGTATTTCGGGAGCTTTTCCCGGTCACTCCTTACCATGTTTGAGTTTACCCTCGCAAATTGGGCCCCCCCAGCAAGGGTATTGATGGAGAATGTGCACGAGGCACTCTTCATCTATTCTGTTGTGCACAAGATGGCACTTGGATTTGCCGTCATCGGGATTATAAATGGAGTATCCAGTTGCTTGCGGAAAGTCTCGCCATTGTGCCAGCCACGCATTCTGTGGTTTTCTTTTGTCGCGGAGCGTTCAGGAAGCGGTGACGTATGACACTTCGCGTGCGGAGGCTTGGGAGAGCCGTGATAATCGTCACGGTCTCCTTCGTCGAGTCGGGGTGTTTTGTTTCGAGTTCGTCGTCGTTTCGTCGTCTCATAATCTTCCCTCCTCCTCTTGGGGTCTCTTGGAGGCTGTTGGGGGGCGTGTTGAATGACTTGGAGCCTATTGAGGGCTTCGTGGAACGTTTGGGGGCTCTTTTGGGCAGTCTGGCACTTTCAGAGTCTGCCGTGTGGATTTCTCGTGGCCGTCTCGGGGGCCTCTTGGGCCGTCTTAGGGTGGCAGACGTCCGAAGCGGCGGGGACACGAACAAGAGAAAGTCACGAGGAGGGAGGAGGGAGGAGGGAGGAGGAGGAGGAGGAGGAGGAGGAGGAGGAGAGGGAGGAGGAGGAGGAGGGAGGAGGGAGGCGGGAGGTGGGAGGAGGGAGGAAGGAGGAGGGAGGAGGGAGGAGGGAGGAGGGAGGAGGGAGGAGGGAGGAGGAGGAGGAGGAGGAGGAGGATGCAAAATCTGGCCCTCGTGGCAACCCTCGTAGCACCCTCTTGGCCAGCAACTGTACCAGGGCCCCCGCGGGCTGTCTCGAGACCATCTTGGCTCCTCTGGGGGCCCTCCTGGGCGGTCCTGCTGGCATCTTGGGCAATTTTGGCGGCCCAACTTGCCTGCCGCGGCCGCCTCGCGAGTCGTCTCTGGCATCCTGGGGCCCTTGGAGAGCGCCAGAGAGCCAGCAAGACCATGATCGGGTCGGGAGGACGGGGTTGGTAGAGATGACCAGATCACGCGCATTACAATGAGATCCTGGCGATGCAATCTTCCACAATTGGCGTTTTCGCTCCGTTCTGGTCCCTGGGACACAGACCGATCTGGCTCGAAAAATGACGCAGAAAGATTGGGTTTAGTGCTCCGGTCTTCATTTTTCGCGATGTTGCCATTTTTGTTGCAACGTCGCATCTCAGGGTACCGCGTATGTTGAACTGGCCAATGGAACAGCCGTGCCCTGTCTGTATCTCGACTACACGTAAGAGTGACCCGTCGCCAGAGTGACTTTTTGATTTTTTTTTGGCTTTGGTTTTTTTTGGTGCGTGCATTCTGGAGGCCTGTGTTTCTCTTTCTTACTTTTTTCGTTCTCTCTCTCGTGTTTTTTTTTTTTTTTTATGTACCCCTTTTTTTTTTTGTTTTTTCTTTTTTTTCTTGTTTTGTTGTTACTTTTTTTATGTTTTTTGTTTATCTTCTTTTTTTTTTGTGTTATCTTTTTTGTTTTGTTTCTCTATTTCCTTTTTTTTCTTTTTTTGTTTTTATTTTCCTTTTGTAACTTGTTTTTTCTTCTTTTCTAATTTTTTTTTTTTTTTTCGTATTGTTTCTTTTTTTTTTTTTTTTTTTTTGTTTCCCGAATGGGAGAAACGCGATGCGGCAGTGCCGCCTTGCGCGCTTCTGCGTTTGGCCCCCCCGCGGCACTCAAAAAGCCGCGCACCAGAGGTCACTCTTACCCAGAGGTCACTCTTACCCAGAGGTCACTCTTACCAGAGGTCACTCTTGCGTGTAGTCGAGTATCTTCCGAGCCCCTTCCTCCCAGCACGAGGGTGGTCTTTCTCAGAGAGCCGTCGGGGCGCTCAGTGAGCCTCTGCAGCGGAGGGGGGGGCGCGTCGGTGAACTCAGCGCAGCGGTAATGAGGGTGAGAGGGGCCTCCCTCGGCGGGGAGGAGGAGGGGGAGGAGGAGGAGGAGGAGGAGGAGGAGGAGGAGGAGGAGGAGGAGGAGGAGGAGGAGGAGAGGAGGAGGGAGGATGAGGAGGAGGAGGCGGAGGAGGAGGAGGAGGAGCGAGGAGGAGGAGGAGGAGAAGGGATGGAAGAGGAGGAGAGAGGAGGGGGAGGAGGGAGGAAGGAGGAGGAGGAGGAGGAGGAGGAGGAGGCGGAGGAGGAGCAGAGGAGGAGAGGAGGAGGAGGAGAGAGCGCGAGGAGGAGGAGGAGGAAGGAGGAGGAGGAGGAGGAGGAAGAGGAGGAGGAGGAGGAGGAGAGGAGGAGGAGGAGGAGGAGGAGGAGAGGAGGAAGGGGAGGAGGAGGAGGAGGAGGAGGAGGAGGAGGAGGAGGGAGGAGGAGGAGGAGATGGCGAGGGGTGGGGTACGGACGGACGATGTTCCACCACCACTGCCTCTGCGGCGAGCCAGGGGGGAAGTGAGAAGAGGCGGGCCTTCTGAGAAGGCTCGGGAGTGCCACAGCCTGCTGAGAAGTCTTCTAGGCCTTCCCCGAAGACGCAGAAGACCTCTTAGAAGGCTGGCGGCCTTCTGAGAAGACCCGCCGCCTTCTGAAAAGGCCCCCTTCTTCTCACTTCCCCCTTTCGCGGACGCCCGATAACACAGGCAGGACGGGGGAGACGGGAAGATGGGGAGGTTCTCCTCCTCCTCCTCCTCCTCCTCCTCCTCCTCCTCCTCCTCCTTCTCCTCCTCCTCCTCCTCCTCCTCCTCCCTATGGTAGCGGAGGTGGAGAATTGGCCCATCCCCTCGAACTACGATGGAACAGGCCGTCTCAGAAGGCGACGGGTCTTCTCAGAAGGCCTCCGACCTTTTGAGAGGCTTGTTGTGCCTCTCCAGAAAGCTGGGAGACTTCCGAGCCTTCTGAGAAGCCCCGCCCCTTCCCGCTTCCCCCGGGCTCGCCGCCAGTCCTCGGCAAATTACAGGAACCTTATCAGGCAGCATTTGGCATTTTACCACGCCTCAACGTGCCAGGGGGCATGGTGGCGGATTCGTCCAAGAGACGTTCAAGGTGGCTTCTTCGGACGACGCCGTGATGGTCAGGCAGATGTATCGTAAGGAGAAGATGCACACTCAAAAGATGCAGCGCCTCTTCGTCGAGGCAGACGCGAACGGCGATGGTACTATTGAGCTCGATGAGTGGCTGACGATCTGCGAGGACCAGTGGGTGCAGATCTGGCTGAAGTCTCAAGACCTCGATGCAACTGATCCGGGCAAGTTGTTCACCTCATTGGATGACGGCAGCGGGACCCTCACTGTAGAGAGGCTCGTCGAGGGCACTGCGCGGCTGAAAAGCCAGTGTTCGGCCGTGGCAGTTATTACTCTCCTCAAAGAAGTTCACGATCGGGTGAAGGACATCGAAACCACGTTGCATGACGACCGTGCTGAGGTCAATCCCGTCAGGACGCGCGGGGATGATCGATTCAGAGGGTCTCCCCTTCCCAGCAGCAATGCATTATGATGGTGGGGAATGTAAGTATACTGCTCGTTCTTGCCTTGCAAGCTCAGCTTGGCTCATTGCTTAAACAACACCGCGCTCAGTAGGATTTCAACTACTCATTGGCCTCCGTCACGCCGCCGTGCCTGGGTCGTTGCGAGGGGACATCTCAGAGATTTCTTTGGGTCGTTGAGGCGTTTTGGGGGTCGGTTTGGATGGCTTGCTCTTGGGACCCGAAATCGAGATGCTACATCCCAGCGAAACACATTCTTCACGCTTCGCGTATCCCCACAAGCCGGTTCAGAAACCTGCCATGCGAGTTGATGAGAAAAGAGACGAAGCGACACGTATCAGAGCGAGGGGGCCGAACGGTCATGCATTGTCCCTGGATGCGTGGCTGAATAGGGAATTGGTGTTGAGAATTCTGTTTGTTGCGTTGTTCTTGTTGGTGTTGGTGGTGGTGGTTGGTTGTTGTTGTTGGTGTTGTTGTTGTAGTTGTTGTTGTTGTTTTTGATGTTGTTGTTGTTGTTGTTGTTGTTGTTGTTGTTGTTGTTGTTGTTGTTGTTGTTGTTGTTGTTGAATATTATTACTTCTAAAGAATAATTATTGTTGGGCCCCCTGGTGCACGCCCCCCCTGCGCCGCCTAGGCCGCAGCTACATTTTCATCATTTTCGTGAGGAAGCCTCAGGTAAAACGATGTGATCCAGATCCGGCTGTTTTGTTGTAATCCGTTTTCCCTTGCAAAAAAACACTATAAAATGACATTTCTTGTTCTAATATAATCAAATTTCAAGAATCCCTTGCAAAATATAAGGTAAAGTGGACATTCGCGCGCGCAAGACGAAATCCTTCCAAAAGCTTAGTGTTCGGAACGATTTCAACATAAAAACATCAAAGAACCAATGGTTTTTCAACAAAAAAATGTCAAAATCTCATCCCGCGCGCTCTTGCGGATTCGTAGGAAAACCAACACTTTTAAAACATTTCTGTCAAACGGGCTTTTGCGAGCAACTTTTTCGAACTTCTGCAACAACGGTTGCGCACCTGCCAGGGCCATCATCCCTGTCAAATAATACCATGCGGGACACAATCGTTTTTTCTTCGCGCGCGCACGCCGTCGTCGTCGGCCGCGGGGCCCTGAAGAGTAGCCACGGTCGTCCGCATGCCACGAAGTGAAGTGTCCGAACGTCATAGGGCGGGAAGCTGGGTGTGGGTGGTGGCGAAGAGTCGTTTGGAAATTTGGTAGAGCTTGAACCGCCCCCCCCACAAAGTGGGGGTATTGCCCGCCTCCTATGAAAACCCTGGCACTGGTGAGAACGGAGTGTCCCCAGTCTTAAATGATTGTTGTTGTTGTTGTTGTTGTTGTTGTTGTTGTTGTTGTTGTTGTTGTTGTTTGTCGTTGTCGTCCCACTCGCTACCCACCCGCGACCCACCCCGCGACCCACCCCGCGGCCCACCCCGCGACCCACCCCGCGACCCACCCGCGACCCAACCCGCGACCCACGCGCGAGTCACCCCGCGACCCACCCGCGACCCACCCGCGACCCACCCGCGACCCACCCCGCGACCCACCCGCGACCCGCCCCGCGACCCACCCGCGACCCACCCTCAAGGGAGGAGAAACCCTCCTGGACCCGACAAATGACGTTTATTAAACAGCCCTGCCTTGTTCGATTCTTTCCTTGCGTGCGTTTACTAAACAGCTTCGCTTGTCGGGGTGATTATTATGGGGTGGATGTTCTGCCTTTTACACCCGCGACCCAGCAGCGATCCACCCGCGCCCCACCCGCGACCCAGCCGCGACCCACTTGCGGCCCACCCGCGACCCACCCAAATTGGTTTAAAGAAAATGTCGGCGCCTGCGGCGGGCTCGTTGAATAATTTGTGGGACTTTGGCGCCTGCGGCAGGCTTCTCCAGAATCTCGCAGACTGCCGACGTCCCCACCGCCCCCATCACTCTGATCCGCATCTGCGGTGTGCTTCGGTAGTGGAACAAAGCAGGCAACTGGAATGAACAGAGAGAGATCTTTAGGAGCAAGGGGATGGCCATAGAGGGCCTCTTCGGACCATCCCTGGGTCCCGCGGCGGGACAAGGGGAGGAGGAGGAGAAGGAGGAGGAGGAAGAGGAGAACGAGCAAGAGGAGGAGGAGGAGGAGGAGGAGGAGGAGGAGGAGGAGGAGGACCAGTGCAATACGAAAAGTCACCAACGATTTGGGAATACATCCTCCCTCCAAGCTCTCTCTTCACAGGCCCTTTACAACGGTTCTTTTCCACTCAGGGAACTGCCTCGTTGGAAGACAATTGTTTGAAGACCCTGAAGCATGCTAAACCATTGTTCTCACGGGCCAACTTGGCTGTTTCGCCTTGGCGATCCTGGATCGCGCCAGAACGCCATTTTGGGAACTGCAACACCGCTGCGCCCTCATAATCTGGCACCCTTCCAAAACATCGTTCTGGTACGCTGACCATGGTAACCCGTAGAACTCTCGCAAACATTTGAAATGAATGCGCGCGGGGCCTAGGCGAGAGCCACACTTTGAAAACGAACCGCCCTCAACCCGTGAAATTATTGCGAAGTTTGAAACGATTGTGCGCGGCGCTCAGGCGAGAGCCACATGAAAACCATTCGCCCTAAACCGCGGAACTCTTGCAAAGTTTGAATACGAATGCGCGCGGCGCTCAAGCGAGAGCAACCTTTTGAAAACGATCCTCCCTCCATCTGTGAAACTTTTGCCCGTGTTGAAGCTTCAGGGTCATTCGTGGTGAGGAAGTCTCAGGCGAAACGCCCAGCCCGCCCTAAAAACTGGCCTCGGGGTGCGACAGGACGAAGCCATTCACAAGGAACAAGAAGAATCGAGGAGGCAAACCGCCTCTTGGGGCCCTCTCTTGGGGCTCCCCTTGGAGCCCTGGAGGGCATGTGTGGGCCATTTGGGAGGCCATCCATCAAGCGGGGGTTCCAGATCTAGGTCCCCCCCCCTTGGGGCCCTACGTATCGTATCTTACGGGCACTCTTGGGGCCGTCGTGGGGGCCGCTTGGGTCAATCTCGGAGCGCTTTTGGGGCAATCTAGAGGCTTGAAAAACACATCGCACGACGCGAAAAGGCAGAAGGAACGGCTCACTGTGTGTCCTTAGGTATTTGATGGATTTGGGTTTCGTGGGGGAGGGTCCCGAGGGGTCTCCGAGGGAATTTGGAACCGCCTAGGAGCAGGCCGGAAGCCATCTTGAGCCATCTCCGGCGATCTTGAGCCATCTTCGCTGCCATCTTGGAGCATCTGAGGCCCACTTGGAGCCACCTTGGGCCCTCTGAGTGCTCCGTCAGTCTAAAGTTAGTTGGGACAAGGGCGAGAGATAGCGAGCGTTTGTCCGGGGCCGCTTAGGCTCAAGCGGCTGGCCGCCAACATGTGATTGCGCCTCATTGCGAGGCATAGTACTTGCCATCGAGACCGAAAACATCCTTCGCTTGAAATGGCCCGTCGCTCCCGCGACGACCTCTTCCGATTGGGACTATCGCTACTACGGTACAAGTGAGCTGGAGCTGCGTTTCGCCTCAGGCGAAGCTTCTGGTCGGGCCCCCCGGCCTCCTTCAAACTTGGTAGCGGACTTTAAACGGAGAAGGTTAAAGGCGAGGTATAAATCGAGCATGTACCGCTGCCGTGCCTGGCTCAAGCCGGGCCCGGCCAAATATATGACTGTGCCTCACCGAGGCGCACGACTGGTATCTGAGATCGGAAAATACCTTTTCCATTGAAGATGCCTCTTCTATCCTTTACTCCAGGTCCCATGCTTCGTCTCGCTCTCTTGCTCATGCGATATGAGCCAAAGCCTGGGATATGGCAACGCTTGAAGCGTAACACATACCTAAGCTTACCAGCATGTTTTCGACTTGGTAGCGGAGCTGGCTACACTCTCGTGTGGCTGGCTCTCGCTCTGATTCCTGTAATCACGGCACAACTTGGTGGACTACTACTACGGTGGAATACCATGTTGCGCCGGCTCTGCGAGGAGCGGAGCCAGTCCGCGATCGAGCTAGCGGGGCAACCCGCGAACTCGAGACGCTCTCTCCTACTTCACTGCGCTACTTCACTCTCGACTTCCACCAGCTGCCAAACGGCAACTCGATCGAGAACGTGGTCACCCTGCGGGGCTACCCGCAGCGGGGCCACCTGCATCCCGTGCCAGTCAGGCGCCTCACGGCTACTACGCCAGAGCCTGACAAACCACAGCCTCAACCAATCACCGAAGCCGAAATGCACATGCACTGGATTAAGATAACTATCTTCGGCATTCTGTGGGTAATAATGGGATGTGCTGTGGGATACATGCGGCAGGGGAAGGACGACACGCGTACTACTGGCCCTTCATGGGACCCTGCCGGTACTACGCCTTTTCGCGAATACGTTCGCGAAGTACATGCATGGTTAAACGTAACGAGTGGCAATATGACACCACCACAACAAGCTGCAGCACTACAACGAGGCCTTCAAGGTCTTGCTCGTCGTATCGCCATGCAGGTCCCCTCCAGATCATCAACTATGGTGTAACTGTCAACGGACAGCCAACGGATGCAGTTACTTATATACTGTACCTACTGAGCACCAAATTTGAAAATCTGGAAGATGAGCGCCAGCTCAACTCTGGCACTGCCCTTATCGACTTTCGCGTCGAAAGGGGCGAGCGAATCGACTCAGTGTTAGCTCGATTCGAGATGGCCCGTGACGAGGCTAACTCTGTTGGCTTTGTCATCCCCAACTTACAGATCCTAACGCTGATTCTTTTCAGAGCGTTAGGCGTTGGCGCGTCACGAGCCCAACACCTGCTGGAGCCTTTTAATCATCAGATGCCCAGAACACAAGCAGACTATGACAGGCTGCTGACCAGGATGAGGAACTACGGACATGTTGCCGAGCGCTCTCCTGGCAACATTGCGTGTATCTTCACAGGGCACCACTCACATGCAGGTGTCTACGCCACGACTGCGGGGTCACCCGCTGGTCCTGGCGAGCCAAGTCCCTGGGCTGACCCAGCCGATATGCCCAACGAGGCCACTGCCTTCTTAGGGCAGACCGGCCAAGCATCGGCAGAGGCAGCTGAGGCGAACGCCTGGTCGAACTACTCGCCAGGCGCCGCCTGCACTGCAAGCCCGCCCTCGGGCACAACCCTCTGGGGCCAAGCGGAGTCATCCGCTCAAGGGTCTCAGCCACCCTC